ACCCTCCTCTGGCCGCAACAAAACGACAGCTATTACAAAGTGCTTTCCAAGGCATGAAGACTGTGTTTCAGTTTCTTGGACTCGAAGGCCAAGAGCATATGCATATGACGCTATACGGCGTAGACGAGAGATACTTTGGTCTCGTAGCTCTATGTGCGCAAGGCCCGGAACAGTGTATTCACTGTCTAGAAAAGCGCGAGAGTTGCATGTGCTGGAGCGATAGACCAGCAAAGGGCGAGCAGTCTCTGCGAGCAATGGCACAGGAAGCTTTGGCGTTCTCTGAAGCGTTGATACCACCCACGGAGTACCGAGAAGAGCTCGAGACATGTGCCGAGTATGGGGTGTGCGCGTATCTGGTGCGGTTCGCGGTGGAGCGAAGTACATGGTTAGGCCGGTACCGCGAAGTGTATAAAAACTACCATGGGCTACTCCAAAGGAGAATCGAAATCAAAAGGAGTGTCACCGAGAGGATGATGGATGTGGGAATCAAAAGAAGCTACAACAAGATGTGGGAGAAGTTGGCGGATCATAAGATGGACATTCTTGCGTTCTTCAACGCCGATAGCCAGGTGACATGCGAGGAGATGTGGAGTGCACGAAAAGGTGAGCTCGTGACAATCATGAGAGAGCGCAGAAAGAATATGAAGCTCCCATGGCAAACGGAGTATTTTTTCACTGATGGGTATCTGGATGCCCAACTGGAGAATCGAGCGATGGTTGATTTTGTGTATCAAGAAGCCCGAGATGTGCAAAGACGGAGAGACCCTCCAAGTGTGCGTGTGACGTGGGAAATGTATGTGCTGATGCAGTTTGGTATATTCTTTAGGAGAAGCAAAAGGGAGGCTGTGTACAGCGCGTATCCCGAGCTTCCTCGAGTCACACTGTTTGCCCACTGGTTGAGGCTCATGAGCGTAAAGGCTCATCTTTCGAACAATCAGGGCGTGCCTCTTTACATCATGGTGGGGGAAATGTTGGGGGGGCGGATGTAAAAAGTGACATGGTGTCTGGGTTACTTTGACGCGGTGAGCGTATGGACACGGCCGTCACGTGGTTTAAGCATGACGAGCCACTATGGCAAGCAGGCAAGTTGACATAGGATTCGAGTGCATGATAGAGGCATATGCAGAGTTCATCGGGTGGATTACCGCGGAGTAGACGACGAGCAGATGTGTGTATTGCAAGCTGTAAACTATGTACTTTATTTTAGTTGATACGTGATGCATGGAGTGATGAGTCTTTTAGTATGGAGCTTTGACCGAGCTTTGACTGAACTTTGACTGAACTTTGACTGAGCTTTCAATGAGCTTTCACCGTGCTTTTATTGGGAGGTCTCGTATTTCAAGCAGTAATTCCTCTCGATTAGAGGCTTGGAAGCTTAGTCCTGGGATTCCCCTAGGTTAGGTAACCGAGAAGCCTACGGTAGAAGGAGTTGATGGTTAGTGTGCTAGTCGCCATCATAATCGTCAAAGTGTCCCAAGTCAAGTTCCTCGGTCTAAACTATGGGGCCATTTTACTAAGGGTAGATTTAAACAAGGCGGTCAGATGCGTTGTATATAGTGTCATGTTTGCGTGAGTGACCCAAATGGTCATTGTGCTCAATGTAATGAGTGCTTAGAATAGTATATGTATTGTTCGCCGTTTCAAGAGCAGTTTAGAAGCAGGATACTAGTGGCGTAGTGTTTAGATCAACGACGTGTGGTATATCCGGTGTGTAGACGGCCTAATTAGTCAAATAAAGGTATCATTCACGTAACTATGCGTTTATACTATACTACAAGCCATACATTATGTTTCGTTCTTCTCTCCCGAATGTGTAATCTCAATTATTGTTTCAAGAAAAAAGCCCATTTTTGGCCTGAAAGACAAGGCAGAATGATAAAGCTTCAAGTCGTCTCAGACCGCCAAATTTCTCTAAAATGTAAGGATGTAGGTACGGATGCTCAATGGTGTAAGGGGGGATGTAGGGATTTACAGCCTGGTGTAGGGAGGGATGTAGGGATGCAGGAGAACCCGGTCATGTGAACAAGATAGAAAGTCGAGAGGGAATGGTCATGTGATGAAAAGTCGAGGGAGAGGAGCAGGTCATGTGATGGAAAGTTGAGGAGAGCTGGTCATGTGATGAGAATCGAGGGCGGGAGCTGGAGCTAGTTTTTCGTGAGCCGTGGAAGCAGCCGAGAAGAACAATTCCCAGAAGAAGTGAGCGAAGTGCTCAGGTGGCGGATAGTTCATAAAATAAGATTTCAACGATGTATAGCTATGTTAGAGGAATAGGAAAATATGTTATAAATATGGATTACGAAAATAATGAGGAGAAGTTATAGAGGGAGGTAGGTGGAGGGCGGTTAAGATAGGGTATCGTAAATGTCTGGATAGTGGATGTGTGGAAAGTAGGATCTCCAATAGTGGGTGTTCTAGGAAAGCGAGAGCCAAGAGAGTGAAATTGGAGGAAGGTACGA